TAAAAATATTTTCATGTTTGCATCAACTAATTGATACAGTTCAATATCCTAGATGTGAGTAGAAATAATCTTGATTCACGTCATTAAAAATTCAAAAAAGTACCTACTCGCAACCTCTTCCACTCCTGCTTTTTCAATTCTTATTCCATCAATATGTTGCGTTTTGAGACACAGCTAACCCCTTTAAAGGAATAAGTAATTCCTTCAGGGGTTTTAAAGATATCTATCATGGGTGACCAAAATTAAGCTGAAAGCAATGGATCGCATGAGTTTTCCCCTTGGGAAAATAACATGGGAAATATTGTTTTCCACTTTATCTAAAAGGAATTACTTATTCCTTTAAAGGAGTTAACTGTGTGTCAAAACGCATCAAAGTCTGAGTTTGGATATTTTGATGTGAAAAGTATTCGATTTTTGTTCTTTAACATTTATTGTAATGCCTTCAGAATGAATTAATTTTTATGTAAGGGTATACATCATTGTAGTACTTATCTCTTTAGATATTATGCTGTTTTAAAGGTTATTTTTCTCACTAATCCATAAGTAAGCTATGACTGGAAATGTTTTATTATAATATAATCATGAAGATTTATAAATATTAGATCATTTAGAACAACAAAGCTATATTCACCACATGACTGTCTTTTTGTATTAATCCTTAAACATTAATTCAAAAATAAAAGATTTCTAATCGAAGGTTTATCAATATTTCAATGTGTAACGGTTAGGCTAAGCTCTCATCTCATTGTTATTAATATTAGTTATTGAAAATGGTTTATCTGATAAGATGTCTGTCACTCAGATATTCTCTCACTTTGATCATCACCCCTTGCATTTAATGAGATCTGGGTCTGTAGAAATCATCACTATTTCTCTTTAGTAGAAAGACATTATCAGTGAGGAATATAATCACCCAGTCAACTAGAACTATATAATTAATATAAAAACAATCAAGATTACATGCTCTTAGTTGTTCTAGCTTTGCCGAGGATTCTATATAGTAATAATAGATAATAAAACAAGGTGATTACTTCTTTTATGTATTGCATTACATATCACTCATCAAAGCTTTAATTATAGTGTCTAGGGCATTGGAAAGTCTCCCATTTGGGTGCTCAATACACAGTTGTGATGAATAGGTACAAAGTCAGAGAATAATCCCTTATCGCCAGGCTATGTTTCCAATGGTCTTCAACAGTTGATACTAGCCTAATGTCAATGTTTGCAAATTACCTCAAGGTACATGTATTAACCTTGAATCTCTTAGTATTAAATCTATAAAGAGAAAATAGAGGTACATTATATTTTGTATTACATATAGTAGTTTCGTGGACCATGGAAGTCCAACTCCATCCAACGTCAGACTATGGGGCAAGGAGGAAACAGTCAACTCCCCTCTGTTTGACAATACCAACTGTACACTGAACCACATACTAAGAAGATGCCCAAAAGCTCTTTGAGCAGGACAGGTGGCGTCATAACATGGTGCTCCAAGAAACAGCAAAATGAATGGACCAGCAGAGACTTCTTATGAACAAACACAAGCCCAGTGAGAGATCAATACTGACAAAGTTTGTCAAGGAGGGAAAAAGTGTTCAAAACAAACCAACACAGCCGTCCCTCCAGTCCAACATCCTTTCAAAAGCCAACAATTGGACTCAGAAACAGCATTTGTTCCAGAAACTTATCTTCCCGCAGGAGATAATTGTCATTGATCCCTCCCCTGACATGTTACTGATCTCAGCCGCCAGCAAGACAATTATCATCATTGAGTTAACTGTCCCATAGGGACTGTCTCAACATAACACATCAGTTGAAAGAGGCAAAAAACCCAGACTTTGTTGACGAACCCAAGGCAAGAGGTTGTCACACTGTCCAGTAGCCCATAAAAGTAGGCTGTAGAGGGGTTCCAACTTCTTCTCTTTGTTACTTCTGATCTCAAATAGGATTGCCTTCAATGCAGCTTAGTCAGCAATGAAAGCTGTTGGTATGGTAGCAGAGCCCAACTCATGGTGGATTTGGCTGAAGAGGAAAGACACTAACCAGCTTTTTGCATATCCCTGTCAAAATTGTAGGGATGCATCGCCAAAGTAAAAAGTTCATTAACTGACTTCAAAACAATATGTTTCACAAATTCCCTTTCAAACAAATCATTATATCAGTGAAATTCTGAACCTTATACAATATAAAAGCTAAATTCAACAGACTTTTAATTAACAAACAATGTTCATGAGAACCAAGTCATTTACTGATCATGCTTTCATTTGCTTCCAAAGGTAAACCTGTTTACAGATAGATATCCTGAACATCTAATTGATAAAGAACAGCATTACTAAATATCATGATATACATTCATGAGAATGTAGGATGATAGGAACCAGATAATGAGATTCTGGGTTGTGAAATTGAGTGATATGTAATATAATATAAAACTAATCATCTGCGGAGAAACAGATGAGCATCAAATAAAAACAAATTAGCAATATTTCATTTTTCATTATAGCAAAGTGAAACAAAATTGTGGGACTTGAACTGTTGAAATGTAAATATTTACACAAATACCAGAAACCCCATTTGCAGAAACACCAGTGAACAATTTCGAAATGCAATGAACTGACCATTCTAATGATCATCACACCTTTCTGTTTTTCAACTAGAAATATTTATAAATAGAACCTTTTAATAGAAGGCCATGATTTCTCATGATGATGCTAATTGACCATAGTCAGCATGAGTCGGAAATTAAATAATAATATATAGGATATCAATGAACAGTCATATTAGCATAAATAAATTCATTTAAATATAATTTTTTAATTATTGGAATGCCATAAATTAAGCTATATGATCAAAAATATAACTTCAGTATTTATTTCGAATGTGTTCACCTTTCTTCAAAATCAGTAATCTCACAAATGCAAAAACCGTGCAATATGTGAAAACTTCCTAATTCGAATGATTTTAGCTGGTCCCTATGGCATTTGGATTGGAAAGATTTCTCTGGGGTCATTCTTGACCCAGTATTGACTAATAACATTAAAACATTATTGAAACGTGTATTCTGGTTGGCTGGGGAAATTTGAGCAAAATGGGTTTGAATCGATTTATTGTCTAATCTGTTCAATAGATATTAAAATAATTCAATAAACTGGTTCTCATGGTACCTTTTCTTAATATTAATTTCTAGAACAAAACCTTTTTGTCTTCCTTTTCTAAAATAAATGAATGGAAAACATAAGAGTATGTATACCTACCTACTCAAGGAATTTACATATCATCTGAAATATACACAGAGTGAAGTTTATGCATGAATGATATTGTTATAACTGCAAATGATCTAATCAAATATTAAATCAAGTCAGTCAACTCTTGAGAAGAAATGTAGTTTTTTGTGTGGTATTTGTCAGACATCTGGATTTGAACGTATTATGCATTTGTGTTAGGAAAAATTAGAATTTTCATTAATATTGGTTTGAATAAACTGAAACATAATCTTGGTCCATCTCATAATTTGTATGATACATATAATTGATTGTACATTGAATGTGCATGGATGTACTTTGAATGTGCATGGATGTACATTGAATGTGCATGGATGTACTTTGCATGTACATGGATGTACATTGAATGTATATGATGATATTTAAGACAATAATAGCAAACAAGCAAACTTGATTATCAATATGACAAAATGTAACAGTAGCCCAATTTACACTACGCGCAGCATTCCAAGATGTTTTGGCTAAAACGTTTTAGAAAAATTAAGTTGATTTTACATTACCATTTTCAAGACGTCTTAGGAAATAAGATCGAGTTTACACCTGTTTTCCTAAAACGTCTTAGAGATATATAGGTACATGTATGCATGTAAAATGAAAAAGCAGTTCAGAACTGGTTGAAGGACGGTTCAGTCAATATAGCTATTCCTTCCCCGCTTCTATACGTTTTACTAAAGAATACATCGGTTTCACAAAAATATGTCCTAAAGACAGCATTGTTAAAAGCATGAAAGTGAGCAGGAAGGTTATGCATAAATTAGGATTATGATAAATCGCCAGGCAAATAAGTTCTTCTCAATAATTTCGGGATGATATTGGGAACAAGGGATAAGACAAAATAAAGGACCATGCGACATATGCAAATGGAAAGTTTCAAATGTTTCGTTCGCTGCAACGCAAAAAAATGGGCTAAGAGCTCTTAGCTAAAACCGATGGATTTACACTCGCTTGTAAAACGTTTTAACTATAAGACATCTTGGCTATGACTAGGGTCCTAAAACGTTTTAGCTAAGCGCTCTTAGCCGAGAGCTCTTGAGTAAATCTGGATTTACATTACATTTGTAAAACGTTTTAACGCTAAAACGTTTTAGCTAAGACATCTTAGCGCGCTAGTGTAAATCCAACAAGTGTCACTTTAGGACAAGTTAATTACTGAAGAGCAATGACAGAATTAATCATTCTCAGAATGATTGGCTAATAAACAGCACAGGTATTGGGTAATGTCATGTAGAGATTGCCAACGGATTTCGCACTATTTGATAAAATCAGAATCACATACTCATTTGTGCACTAGTATTAAATACTCCAAGATTATAATTGGTGAAATTTGATGTTTATGTAGAACAGAAAGTTAAGCAGAATGTTTCATCACCTGAAGCAAGTTGCTATCTTACTACTGGACTTCTTTTAGAGAACAAGACTGAAAAGATAACCAGTAAGGCTAAATAAATAATAACTAATTGGTGTGAAGGCTGTATGTAGAAGGCTTCATTCCCTGAAGCAATGCAAGTGGCTAGTATATCTGGTAATATCTGCAGAAGGACAGGATAGATAAACAGTAAGAGCATCAGTTGCTTGGCCATTGTATATGGAGTCATGGACTAAACAACATCAAGCATTTGTGGCAAGACTGATGCCAATGGTAGTAACATGATACAGAAATTGCAGTTTGCTAATGAAAAATTTTGTAAGTAGCATTTACACTGCTCATAAACAACATTCAGAAGAATCTTTTGCTGCTTTTTATTGATGATATTTGACATGATTCTGAAAAGCATGAACATTGAAAAAATAAATTGCCTAGCAGAGACAATATTAAATAACCCACTCAAAAAGGCAATAATAAACGAATAGGCTTATAATGCATGTGTCAACAGAAAGTACTCAACCAATGACAATGGATGTAGCACTGCATATTTGTAACAATAAATAACTAGAGAAGAGAAGATGGAGGATAGCTACTCTGGAGATACAGAAATGACATATGTGAATATCAAACTGAATATACAAATAGATAGATGCATGTACCGGTATGTATAATTTTATATACTTTTTCTTTGATTTAAGTATTGATATTTGCAATTGCATTGTGTCAAATATCTGACCTTGTGCACTCGTGTATATTGTTGACTTCATATTAATACTCAGATTTATATTCTCATGGCACCATGGTTCAAAGTTCTGTTTTGTGAAGCTTGGAGAAATTTATCTGTTTTGTTTGTGTTTTATGATTGCCATATTTTGTATTTTGTGTCCTTCAAATGTATTATCTGACTAGCTGTTGAAAAATGTGTATGGAGGATTTAATGAATCATTGCATTTTTAAATGCTGGTAGTGTGACAAGATTATCTCACTAATTGACCATGTGGAATTTACATTTATTATCCCACCTCACCATGTTCCTTGTCTCATTATGGAGGATTATCCAGTTGTTTATCATACAAGTGCATATCCCACATCATGGATATATTGGGTCAATACCCCAACGTGGATTACTCAAACAATGTTATCTTAAACGATTGCTGATTTTATCATTTAATTTAAAGTACTGATCGAGGATAATCTTTGTATGAATAAATGTATTATGGTACATGTATCTAAGAGGAATGTATCTTTTTTTGTGGAATAACATAATAATATATGTAAAGCAATTGTTATTCAATATCTGATCTTTTTAATGATAATAGCCACGACCTTGAAAGAACATATATCATTTGAAACTAAATCCCATCTTGTTTGAGTACCTAGCACCCATATTCATTTCTGAACGAGGACAAGTCTTACAATCTTAAAAATTGATATTATGATGAGTATTGGCAGGCATGTTGTATTGTTTGACATCTTTCCTGGTAGGTTAATATAGGTATGCATCATTATAGTAGTTATCTCTTTAAATATATGCTGTTTTAAAGGTTATCCTTATCTTATCTCACTAATCCAGAAGTAAGCTATGACTGGTAATGTTTTATTACAACATAATCATGAAGATTTATGAATATTAGATCATTTAGAACAACGAAGCTATCTTCAATATTTAGAACAAAGCTTTCAACAACATTTAGAACAAAAAAAGCTTCACCATAAGATAATCTATTTCTAGAAATATCCTTTTCAATTAATTTAAAAATAAGAGGTTTTTGTATTGAGGTTTTATCAATGATATTATTGTTTTTTTGATTAGGCTATTGTTAAATATTACTCTTTTATTGAAAAGGTTTATCTGATAAGAGGTTCATCACAGATATTTGCTCTGATCATTGCTTCTTGCGTTTAATGAGAGGTGGGTCTGTAGAAATCATTACTATTTCTAGCTCTTAATATTAAGGCATTATCAATATGGAATATATTTGCCCAGTCAACTAGAGTTATATAATTAATAAAAAATCAGTCAAGATTACATGCATTACAAGTCATTCTAGCTTTGCCAAGAATTCTATATAGTAATAATAGATAATGAAACAAGGTGATTACTTTTTTTATGTATTACATTACATATCACTCATCAAGGCCTTAATTATATAGTGTCTAGGGCATTGAAATACTTCTGACTGGGGTGCTCAATACACAGTTGTGATAAATACAGAAAAAGTCAAAGAACAATCCTGTTCTATTGTGCCATGCTATAATTTTCTCACTACCTTTCTATATTTTAGCACTATTACTAGGAGACATACCTAATGCCAATGCTTGTACATACTTCCATAGGCATTCTATTCTAGTTGATGGTGAGGCACTGTTGCCTATTCCCGGGTGGCCATTATCCACCAACTGCCTTACTGTATGTTGCCCACCACGCTGACACCAATTGCATTTATTGACCTCTCCTTATTTCCCTCCTATAATGCTCTTCAGCATGTATCCTGGTTATTCCATTAAGATAAATACATAATTACAGAGAGAGAAAAGTACCCTTTCTTAGGTATGTTAAAAAACAGTAGATGTTTCTACAGACCTTTATAATAATCCACATATGTTCAATTTGGAATCTCATGAGAACTTAAGACATGACAAAAAGTTGTTTACATGCCTATTAAGTCTGCTTTGCCTAAACATATTCTATTGGTATAGATTTCTATAGATTTCTGATATCAAATTGACCTTTTTCCATATAAATTGAAAATAGATGGCATCATGGGTATTGGTAGGGCTTGGGTAGGGCTAGAATACATGTAAATGTATTGTCAGAGTCACTAAATTTCTTGATTTAAGAAGTAATTGGATCAACTTAAAACATCATTGAAATGTAACTATGTTCGATCTTATTGACATGTGGATTGTGATTTCACATTGTGATTGTGATCCTTGGAAGAGTTAATGAAATTTTAAAGGTTTTTCAGCATTGTGTCAATGGGGATTTAGCCCGACCTTTTTTAGACAACCAGAAAATCATTCGAATTTGAATAAAGGTAAATAACAGTGCAAAACAAAGTTGGTTTGATAGAAAATTACACAGAGAATTCAAATATGCTATCAAATGGAAGAAAAGGTTAGTCGGTAATGGTTAAAAATGCAGATCTCCTAGAATCTCATTAAAAAAGAGACTTTAACGAGATTTCAAAGCTATATGGAAAAAGGACCATTGACAAAGAACTGCATTACTAAATATTATCCTATTCTTCTATCAGAGAATGTAGGATGATGAGGAACCAGATAATTAATGAGATTCTCAGTTGTGAAATTGAGTGAGGTGTATAATACAAAACTAATCATCTGCCGAGAAACAGATGAGCATCAAACAAAAACTAATCAGAAATATTTCATTTTTATTACAGCAAAATTTGTAATTTGAACATTTACACAAATGACAGATCATACATGTGCATTTAACTCAGTTCCATTTGTCAATGAGTTACTTATAAGAATATCATTCATTATCAGCATGAGTTATACTATATGAGGAGAAACTGAAAAATTAATTTTATTTGCTATCATTAATGTAATATCTTGGAATCGACCAATAGCGAAGCATAAGAAAAACAATGCATGCCAATGTTCAATAAATGCAACTTGTGTATTGTTGCAATTTCAGGAATCATTATTGAGTGTTTGGCAGACAGCATACATATAATAAGCAGTCGGCCAGTGGCCAGATTTTGTACTTTCTTCAATGAAGACCCAACTCATATTTTGAAAGAAACTACTAGAAACATAATAAACAACAGCAATGCATTCAAGATGGTCTATATAATTTGCCAATTTTCTCAGAATTTGCAATTACATAGGCTGAGAGCTATCAATTTCATAGAGGCTTCCAAGGACATTCTTATATTATTATTCTAAAATGATCATTTTCTGTCATCTTTGTCCCTCAGTAAAATATCACATTGAAAACATTAGATATCACCATGAGACCAACTACACATTGGCAAATATAGATAGAATCATTAAACTAATAAAGATGTCTAATAAAGCAAGAAATATGGTTACTTTCTTGTGTTTTAAGAACAATCATAGCTATGAAATTAACCATCATTTCTTATTGAGAACCCATCAATATACTCAAACAATGAGAAAGTCAACAATTCAAATTTCAGAGACTTGCATTTTTTGATCATCTTTGAATATACAAATATGTAAATATATTGTCATTTTCAGAACTGTTGCTTTCTAATTGGTTGTATTTAAACATGGTATATTAGAATGTTATAGGACAAACTCTGCCCTAAAATGGCAGCCATTTTGGAATGAGCATAGATTTTCAAAATCAGCTTTTGAACAGAACCTATTCTCACATTGGACATATTTATATAGAAATGTAAAACTTATATTGCTGACAGTTTTTGAGTTATTACACAGATGGACAGACATGTGGACAGATAGATGATCAATATATGCTGTTCATGGCATCTTCATCCACAAGTCCAATTTTAGGTCTTTTTCTAGTGGTTCGTCTTCTTTACTTTCGCTTTTACTGGTCTTTGTTTTGGTCTTTTTCTTTTATTGTTTGTCTTCCTTGATCTTGTTTTGAGTAGGGTCTGCAGACTTTTGGGTTTAAGATTTTAGTACTAGGAAATACCACCTTTCCTTTTTTTTTCATCAATGTCAATTTTTGTTTTCTTCTATTTGTTGCCTTTTCAGAGACTGTATTTAGTTTGTTCTATATTCTTTTTAATTCTTGAATCCATAGTCCCATATCTTCGATATTTGATGGCTTTTGTATTTTGAGGATAGACATTTATTTGTTGAAATTATCTTTTTTATCAATATCCATAGAGTTTCTCTCTATAGTATCCTTGTTGTGTTAATTTTCTCAAAATAAATTTACAGATGGACATGCTCTCTATATTCCCCCAAACTTTGTTCACTCTTTATGATGGGATAATTAAGCGAAGGGTTATCCTGACTCACTGAATCATTGTGTTTCATACTCTCTAGGGGAGAATCCATTTCGTAAACATGTCAAGCTAGGGCAATATAATAAGTTTTCCATTGACATGGAAGATGTAAGTAGGTTAATGTATTGGTTCACTTTGCAGGATATATTTCCATGATAAATTATTACATGTCAAAAAGACAAATACATCATTAGGAGCTTATTCCCATGTTGGTCTGCATTCCCTCTTACTTCAAATTGTTTAGTCATTATGGTGTACTAGTAGGTGTAAAACAAGATGAGAATAATCAAATTCTATTGGGGTGAATACCTGTCCATGCATCTTCCACAAGTGATGTTCCACGAAGCAATATACTCTCGGGGCTATATAAAATTGAAAAATATACAGGACTGAGTTGTAACTGGTGGCACATGAATATCTCTTGCAATTTTCTAGTCACATGTACAGCACAATATGGATCGATCCGAGAGTGAGGAAAATGACAGTGAAATAGTAATGTGAGATGTTTCATTACATGTGTAAAATTACAACTTTCTGATTATTATTATACTTTGAAGAATACAGGGCTTTAATATATACAACCTTTGCCTGACAATAGCATTTAGCTATAGGTGGTGAAAGGCATTGCAATTACAATCTTCATAATTGCAAATAAATGATACTTTAGGGGATTACCTATTACAGATACCCCAGT